ACGTGTTACATAGCGCGCACAGCTGCAATGCGTCAAACTCAACAATTGTTTGTGCATTATAGAGATGCATCTGCAGGTCGCCCGTTATCCACCCAGCGCTTGTCACACTGGCTGTGTGAGGCCATTTCTGAAGCCTACAGAGCATCAGATTTAGAGCCTCCTGTCAACTTCAAAGCACACTCGACCAGGTGTATTGCATCTTCGACTGCCTTGCATAATGGTATGTCAATGCAGGACATTTGCACTGCGGCTGCATGGTCAACACCCTGCTCATTTATTCGCTTTTACCTACGTGATGTAACGGCTCGTTCCATGACACATTCTGTCCTTAGTGCTCTAACAGAATGAATATTGTTGTTTTTCATGGAACTCTGTTTAAGCTCACATCTGTCTGCATGTTTCACAGTGTGAGATGTTGTTATCAGCCACAAGTTGTGTCTGTGATTTTGGTTCTATTGTCACTAATCAGTTCATGACTATTGTTACCAATCAGTTCATTTGATCAATAATCAGTTCATTGATATTAATCTGTTTATACTGTTCAGCCATGAACCAGTTGGTTCATGCCCCCCCCACCCCCTCTTTTCAACAAAGTTTTCCGGGGCGTTCATGCTTTGTCAGAACGCATAGTTACACAACATGCGTCTGTGCATGGCACATAATTACGCGACGCGTAGTTATGCACACGGGGAGCTGAGTGACAAGACGTTTTTTGGGCAAGCTTCCGCTTCTTACTGTGTTCGAATGGACCCAGTGAGGCGAGGACCACATCCGCTTCGCCCTTAACCCATCAGCGACAGCCTTAAAGGGCGAAGCCTATATGACATAGAACGTTGGTTACGTACTGTAACCCCAGATTCTATGAATATAGGCGTAGCCCTTTAAGCGTCGGGCCTCACTGGTTCCTGAATAGCTGAAGAAAAAATAAGCTATTTGGGAGCAGATTACCCGCTCTTAATGTAATTTATACGGATTGGGTGGGGCCCACACAGCAGGTGGGCGTGGACTAATTTTTTCAGTATGATGCTTGCGCATAACGGGATAAACCCATCAGCGACAGCCTTAAAGGGCGAAGCCTATATTCATAGAATCTGGGGTTACAGTACGTAACCAACGGCTTACCTCCACCCCCCAAGAAAGAAGATGGACGCCACTGTTCTCTGAGGGCACTTATGATGCATTTTGCCCCGACGTTTCAAAATAATGACACATGTGCAATGATATGTCACGTTTCACATGGCACTTTTAAGTGAGTATACGGAAATTCCCAAGCTTTTCTAGTGGGTATAAGACATATACCAGCATATCACATAGACTACACCACTGGTCTCACATCTTTAACCTGTCCATAAGCCAAAACTCTGTTCCCGACGCTTGGAAAACAGCCTTTGTTCTTCTTTTGCTGAAGGGAGGTGACCCCACCTCACTGAATAACTATTGACCGATCTCTAAACTTTGCATTTTAGCCAAGGTTCTAGAAAAACGGATAAACTCTAAAATCAAAAAGTATTTGGTCTCATTTAACATCTTTCCTTCCCATTAATCTGGTTTCAGGAAATAACACTGCACAATGACTGCTTCGCTGAAGGTTTTTATGATGTCGTTGAAGCACTGGATGCTAAGGATTATTGTGCTGCACTTTTCTTAGACCTGTATAAAGCCTTTGATAATGTGGATCATGACATCTTGTGTCATAAGCTCTCAGAAATTGGTTTCTCAGATCATAGCATTGGTTGGTTCACTAACTAGAGTTTCTCTCAGATTGGAGACAATGTGTTCAACATAATGATACTTCTTCCAGTTATTTAATAGTTAACAACAGTGTACCTCAAGGCTCAGTCTTAGGTCCCACCCTCTTCACAATCTACATAAGTAATGTAGGTCAGAGCATCCCTGATGTATCCTTGCATTTAGGGATGCACCGATCCACTTTTTTAAACTTCCGATCCGATCCCGATACCTAAGTCTGAATATCGGCCGATATCGATCCAGTTCCGATATCATCATCATCATTGATTTTATATAAGGCTGTAATAATCTCCTCTCAAGTACAATTTGTACAAATATATGCATGCATGCATGTTCAAAAAAGTTTTATTAATTTTGGATAAGTTTTAAAGTTAGAATTAAATTCTGCTAACACAAAACATGTTTCTTTTTATTCCTAGCTTTAAATTGGATATTAAAGTGATTAATTTTAAGTGACTGTTTAAAGTTATTTTATATTTTTTTAAATAAGGGGCAGATATAAGAATTTTTTTCTTCTTTCTGCACTCTTTTCATTCAATGCTTTCTTTTTCATGACTTTTTTTAAATTTTGTTTCTTTTAAATTAATGAATTAAATTAAATTAAATGTTAAATGGCTTCAAACACCTGCTAAGTTCATGGCATAAACTAACAGACATGTTCCAGTTTTTAGTATTTTACATCACTTTATAATGTAGCTGTTTTTGTTTTTAATATAATTTTCAAATCATGTTTTTATATGTTTGTTTTCTGTTGTACTGATAAATATCTCCTGGAGGGTAAACTATATCTTGGCTGCAAGTATCAAGCTGTGAAATCCTTCGTTTTCTACAACTGATAGTGGTTGGTCATGAATCATGATGAAGTTTAGTAACTTCTCTGTAAACATTCAAGCTCCGTGGTTTCAGCGATGTCTTCTTGTTCAATCCGAAGCAAGCAGTCTGATTTAGTGCAGCCACGCTCAGTCTGTCCCTCCTCAGAGACGGGCAGACTGAGCGGGGCAGATTGGATGCGGCTGGCCGGGGTCGAATCGCCTCTTTCCGGTTGAGCAAAGAGCAGCGCCCCGCTGAAGCCACGGAGCTCGAATGTCCAACCTAAAATAACTTTAACGTGGTTTAATGTGGCGCTATGGCTCTGCAGACATTGCACGATGCTGTCTTGTTTTGCGGTGTTTCTAGTGTAAAATACTTCCACACAGCGGACATGTTTTGATGAAAAGTTTGTTAGCTGTTAGCCACAGTGCTTGCTAACCCAGTCCTCATGTTGTAGCTAGCTGCAAACTCTGAAATGGATTTCCTGAATGTGAGGCGGGTCTTATTACTCTGGGTTCATGAGACACACCGTCGTTCAGGAAATCCATTCCGTAGTTTGAAACCAACATGCAACGCAACCACAAACATGCATCATGGATCGGAAATATCGGCAGGTGGATCGTAAAAATCTGATATGTAAATTATGCTGGTATCGGAGACCGATATGGATATTGGATCAGATAGGCACCATCCCTACTTGCATTTCTATGCTGATGATACAGTTGTTTATTGTCGAGCTAAAACAGTTGATAAGGTTTTCCAGCTTTTGCAATCCACTTTTGACATCATCCAGTCAGATTTGTTCAGTCTGAAACTTGCCCTAAAGGCCGACAAAACCAAAGGAATGTGTATACTGATGCATGCTCAATAATCCAGGTAGAAAAATCCAAAAAAGTTCAATCTGGTCCTCTGGACATTCAAAAAAACCAAAACAAAGCAAAGAAATATAGAAACGTTTCGTCTCTCATCCAAGAGACTTCCTCAGTCTGAGGAGCTGTTTTCAGCTCAGTCTCTTAAGTAGCACCTTCTCAGAGTGGATCAACCAGTTTGCTGCTGACAACCAAAACCAGCTGATCACATGCTCAAGAAGGACCATCAGCCTAACAATGGATCATTAGCACACTGATGGCTGTTTACTATTCACAGAGGGCTGAGTGATACTAGCAATCACAGCATTGTAAGAGGGGACAGTTGAACCCAGAGGCCTCCATCCCTGTTTAATGATGGACGATTTCTTTTCACAAAGATGGCCTCCTTTACTCCTCTCTCAAACCATTGTTCCTCTCTGTCCAGGATGTGAACATCTTCATCCTTGAAAGATGTGTCAAAGGGATGTGTTTTCAAACAGGAAGTCAGTCCCAGCAGTTTTTTCCTTCAATTTTATCCTTTTTTTTTTTTTCAATTTTATCCTTGAATGGTGCTCCTATTGAGTTTGTCGATCCCTACAAATATTTGGGTGTTTTGGTCGACTCGCATCTCTTTTTAAAGCTCCGCATGGAAAACTTGGTAAGGAAACTGAAAGTATTATTATTATTTTTTTCCAAATAGATCCTGTTTAACACTGAATGCTAGGAAACGCCTTGTAACTGTGACTTTCCTCCCCTCCATTGACTATGGTGATATTATTTACATGAACGCTCCTACAAGCACCCTGCAGATGTTGGACGCTGTCTATCATGGTGCACTAAGATTCACAACGGCTATAACTACTGTATCCACCATTGCACCCTGTATTCACTGGTTAACTGGTCCACATTAACTACACGTAGACTCTCTCACTGGTACATTTTCATCTTTAAATCACTTCTTTGTCTGTTGTATTCCTACATCTCCTCCTACATGTCTCTGCGTGAGTGCAGCTACAGCGTGTGCTCTCAGGACATTATTACCTGCAGTGTTCCATCAGTGCAGATTGAACTAGGCAAAAGGGCCTTCTCCTACTCTGCTCCTGTTTCTTGGACTATCTTGCAAAAAGACCTGAAGCTCTCGACCTTGACTTCTCTAAGTGGCTTCAAACATCTGCTAAGTTCCTGGCAAAAACCAATGCAGACATGTTCCTGGTTTTAGTTTTCTACATCACTTTACAACCTAGCTGTTTTTGTTTCATCTTTTTAATACCATTTTCTTTTATTGGTTCTTCTCAATTTGTATACTTTTTATGATTGTCTACTGTTGTCATCACTCTTTGTTAAAATCAGGTTTCTCTTGTAAATGAACCCCTGAGGCTCAATGAGATTAACCTGTATGAACAAGGGCTGAATGAATGAATGAACAAGAGATATATTTAACACATTTCCATACTGTACAGTCATAGTAGCACTAAAGCTATTCATTCAGAAACAAATAGACCCTCAAATGGTCCTTAAGAGAGATAAATTCTGCAATTAATTTTCATGTTTATTAACATAAAAAGTCAGCGAGGAATTAAGATTTAAACTCACGGAGACATAGGCAGTGAGGCAGGTGATGAGTGAAGCAGTAATGGCATAAGGAATTGCAGTGTTGGGGCTCTTGGCCTCCTCTCCTGTTGTGGCAATGATATCAAATCCAATGAAGGCATAGAAGCACGTGGCTGCACCCTGCATTACCTGTGACACACAACAGATACAGATAAGATAAATAATAGCTTAAAACAATAATAACCAGACGGATTTAAACAAGATGAATACTTAATTTGTGTGTGCATTCATACCCCTGACCACCCAAATGGAAGAAATCTCCCCTCATCCCAGTTCTCTCCGTTGACAAAAAACAGTCCAGCAATCATCATGAACACCCACACAATGAGATTGATGATGTTCAGTACATTGTTGAAGCCCACAGAGTTCTTCACTCCCAAAGCCACGATCAACGTCACCAACAATGCTATTAGCAATGCCAGTAGGTCTGGGTAGGCCTGCTCTCCTTTACCTAGAAAAGAAAGGAAACAATCAAATAAGAAATAAATCTATTTCATTCAGTCAATGTGATGGCAGGAATTAGGAAAATGACAGATATAACAAAACAAGCATTAATCCCACTGAATACCAAACAAAATTAAAATGTTAAATTTTCAACACCTCTTCCTCAAAAATGTCAGACTAGAGGGAAATAACTGAATAAAGCATTAGGTAATATTAATCTTCTCCACTTTTGCATGACACTGTTTAGTTTGTTTCTGTTCTCTCACCTGGTTAATGCCTGTGTTACTAAGTCTCGGTAAATGTATTTGTGCTGAGCATAGACCGTGTTTATGCAGATGATGCTGAGATGGGGAGTTGAGTACACTTTTAAACTGAATAGATAAGTTTTGAACTGTTTTTTTTCCCCCACAGCAGGGGAACTGTTTTTCCTTCTCGTGCACTGCAACCAGAAAAAAATCAGTTCAATTCAATTCAGTTTTTTCATTCATTCAACCTTTATTTATACAGGTTAGTTCCCATTGAGCCTCAGGGACCCATTTATAAGAGAGACCTGCTTATTTATATAGCACCAAATCACATCAGAAGTTGTCTCAGGACAATACACAAAAACATTCACATACATACAAAATCCAATTAGTAAAAGTTCTCTATCTCAGGAAGGAAGCCAACAAATGTGTTGAATCTTCACTTCATTGCAGTCTCCTATCCTGAGCAAGCACATAGGAGATAGTGGAAAGGATAAACTTCCTTTTAACAGGAAGAATCCTCCAGCAGAACCAGGCTCAGGACAAACGGCCACTTGCTTTGATTGGCTGGGTTTGAGAGAACAGGAAGGAGGGACAAACAAACACAGAATGGCAGGCCAGATGTAGGTGCAGGTGTACCCCCTACCCAGTTGTACAGATCCCTCTACATTTGACAAAATAAATGTGATTGTGACAACAAAAAAAAGGTTAAATTGTGTCATCTGAACCAGTTTCTTTAAGTGAGAAACATTTCACCCCCCATCCAGAGGACTTCCTCAGTCTACGGCCTGCCAAACTGGTCTGTCCCATAGGTAGCCTTCACTTCTAATGTGATTGTTACTGTAGTGAACTAGACCTCCAACATCAATCTGTCTCTGAGGACCTTCAGGGGACAGGAACTGTTATTTCATTGATTTGAATCCAGAAATACAAATTATCTCATCAAGAGACTATTTAATTGTATCCTGAATTAATCAATTGAAAGAACACTCTTCTTTTTTATATTATCATTAACTATTTTACAATATCTTGATAATCAAAAGTGTGTTTAGTTCATACCATTTCTAAATGTTGAAGTAAACCACTCATTTCAATCAACTGTGAAACAGTATTAATGATTTTTAAACCTCATTAGACTTGGATCATACAAGTAAATGTCTATTCACGAAGTAAGTGTGCATTCACTCTTCTGTCTGTGTGAGGAGTGGACCTGATGTCGGTCGAAAGTCAGAGACAAGTTATGAGAACGAAGTGCCTTGTTTTTAAAACTCTCAGACAGTAAATAAGAACTGGCTGGCACCTGCTTTCTCTCACTTCTTCAAAATATTTCTCTGCCTGTACTAACCGTTCTTAAAACATTTCTGCTGTCTGTTGACTTCTAATAACCCTCTGACATCACTAAAACTACACCCCTGCTGGTTGTTTCAACCAATCAGGAAGTACCAAGTGACAGGAAGTGGATACCCTTTAAAAGGCAACACTTTTTGGAACTATTCGGTCTTTTCCAGTCTTTCGGTCTTCCCAGTCTTCCTGGAACTTTCAGTCGAAGATGAGACTCAGTCTGATGGCGAGTCGTACAGGAACTTTCAGTTCTTACTGAAAGTGAACTAAATAGCTGATGGATTGGACCATGTGCCAAGGGTCCCTCCATTTCAGCGGAGTCCCAGCTGCCTCGCTGTGACTCACCCCGAGCAGTACATTCTCTCAACTTCGAAGGAAGCTTATTCTGTTGATCGGAGTATATGGAAGTACTTCTAAAGATTGTAGCCACCCTGACCGGAAACGCTGAAAAGGTAGCGTGCCAATGGACCTCTGTTCCGGAGTTGATGCATCCTCTGCTCAGGTAACAAGCCGTTGACGCCCTGAGTGTACCAGAGGGCTGAGCTGGATTCGGAGGAAGGGTGCCATTTTCTGGTTCAACACATCTTCCCTCATCCATCTAAACCTCCTCTTTAAATCTTTAAACTTCTATTCTCCTTCTCTTTAAACTTCTATTCGCCAGTAAAACAAGATAGATGCCTTCAGAGATGAATCAGTCTCAATCAGTAATCTTCTGTTGTCTTGTTTAGTAAATCGTGCCAAGTTTTATTAATCAGAAACAGATCAGCAAATCAAGTGTACATGTTTTGATGTTAAATTTTGATTCTGTTAAATAAATGACCGCATTTATTCTGATGGATCAAAGATAAATTACGTCTCATGTCACTAATTACCACTCCACTCCACAAGTTATATTGGTCACATGGCAGAAATTTAACTCGAAAAAGAAAGAATCCGTTGTAATTGAACAATTAATATTCTTTGTGTTTGAACTAGCTTTAAGAATAATTAATTAGTAGTGAAGCTAACAGCTAGTTCACTACATTATTAAAATAAAAAGACCCTTCACTTCCAGTTTTGTAGATAACATTTTAAGCAAAAAATTTATTGAATTTGTGTAAGATTGGATGAGCACTTCGCATATTGGGGGCATTTGAGATAAAACCGTAGGTCTTGCAGTAGTGAGAGATACTGTATATTAAGTGAAAAGAAAACAAATGCTTATGCTTAAACTAAACTCCTCTCAGTTGGTTTTCTGATATTCTGGGCCGACTTGCTCCTCATTGTTCCTCCATTGTCAAGAATCTTGGAGTGTTTTTAGACAGTTCATTTAAATATGAGAAGCAAATGTCCTCAGTTTTTATCAGTTATGTCTAATTGCCAAAAGATAATTGTATATTCCTCCAAAAGTCCTCAAAACTCTTATTCATGCTGTCATCACCTCTAGACTGGACTACTGCAACTCTTTACATATACGTTTTGAACAATCAGTGCTCCATGATCTGCAGTTAGTGCAGAATGTTGTTATATGTCTTTTAACTAGAAGACATCACCACAGCACTCCGTTTTTTAGCCAATTGACACTGGTTGCCTGTTCATTTTTCTATTGATTTTAAGATTATTTTACTCACTTTTAAATGGCTCGGCTCCCAGTTATTTATCAGAGCTTTTGGACCTTTTATTTTACTCTAATGAATGGCTACATACCACAGCACTTTAGGTTAATGTAATTAAATCTTTACTAAAGAAACATAACCTTGACTCAGGAATCCTAGCCAATTATAGACCTATATGTATCTAATAAACTTTCATCTCAAAAATTCTAAAGAAAATAGTTGCAGGTCAGTTGTGTGAACATCTACAAAAAAAAATCTGTTTGAAGAGTTTCAGTCAGGGTTTAGAGCTCATCACAGCATTGAATCTACACTGGTGAAAGTTACTGATCATGACCTTTGACAATGGACAAGTGTCTATACTGGTCCTGTTAGACCTGTAGTGAACTAGGCCTCAGGTCGAATCTGGCCTTGAGGGGCCTGCCTGGAACAAGAACTGTATTTCATTGATTTGAGTCCAGAAATACAGGTTGACCCATCCTGAGACTTTCTTTCTTGAATTGATCAAGTGAAAGAACACTACTTTCTATTATCATTACTATTTTACAAATGTTTTGATAATCAAATTGTGTTTAGTTCAAACCATTTTTAAATGTTGAAGTGAACTAATCATTTTTAATCAACTGTGAAACAGTATTAGTGATTTTTAATCCTCATGCAAAGTAGAAATCATGTTAAGGTCTGTTACAGAGTAATTATGCATTTTCTGATTTTCTGTCTTTGAATGAGCAAGTGTAAGTTGGTCCAAGGTTGGAGTCAAACGCAAAACAAGTTGTTGGAACGAACTGTCATGTTTTAAATCCTCTCAGACGTAAATATAGAGGCTGGCACCTGTTTTCCCCCAACTTGCCTAAATATTCCTCTCGTCTGTCTGAAAAACATTTTCAATCTGTTCCATAACATTCTTGCTGTTTTTCTGACTTCTAGTGACCTCTTACGTCACAAAAACACACCCCTGTCTGGTCGATTTTGACCAATCAGGAACCTCCCAAATGAACCGGAAATAGAGCTCTTTAAATGTCGGTACTTCCTAGTTCAAACGAGTCGGGTGGAGAGTTTGCAAAGTTTCAGTCGCTTCAGGCTTCGGCTTCAGTCGTTTGCAGCTGCAGTGCTGGGAGAACAGAAGTCCAGGCATGATCCATAGCTCTTCCGAGTCTTGTGGGATTATGACATATTCCACCTCTGAGTGGAACTTCTGAAGGACTCCACTCATGTGAAGTCCACTCGTGAGGTGAACTTGTGTCGAACAAGTACAGTCACGACTCCGAACGGTTCCCTACTATTCTTACGGAGACGCTGAAAAGTGGCTTGAAGTGGAACTTTACGCCGGAACTGAAATATCTTCAGAAAGGTAAAAAGTCGATCTTCAACCGCAAAGTGTACCGTTTGGTTAAGCTGGGTCCAGAAGGAGCGTGCCGTTCTGATGCCGACACACACACATTTCCCTCATCCATCTTTTCCTCTCCCCCTAAACTTCAATCTCCATCTTTAAACTCTTCTATCTGCTAGCAAATTAATCCAGATATTTTCAGAAATGTCTGTTGTGAAGCAAGGAAACCATCGCCGTATGGTTAATCAAATTGTACAGCTTGCTAACTAAGCCATGTTGTTGAAATCATTTTGCCAAATTAATGTAAATGTGTGATGTTAAACTTGATTCTGTAAATAAATGACCACGTTCATTTTGATGGGTCAAAGAAAATTAACGCCTCACGTTACGTTTTTAATAATTCAATGCACGACATTGTTCAGTCCAGAAAAATGAAAGAATCCGTTTAATTTATGCATATATCACAGCATATGTTCATCTACATACTGGTGGCCTCGTACGCTTCATAAATGGACTGTGTATTCATGTAACAATTG